GGGGGGGGGGGGGGGAGTGGCGGGAAGAGCAGTTTTACCCGCCTTCTACCCGCTCATCTGAAGACAGATGCGCTTAGTTTTTGGGTTGTGAGTTAGCCCAATCGCCTTGGTGACTGAAACTGTGTTCAGGGCATGAGATCAATTTTGCCGGGTGGGACTTGAGTCATTTCTGTCCAATATCGAGGACTTGAAGGTTGAGGGCCCTAGGACGGAGAGGGGAAAAGGGACAGAGGAATTTCCTGGGGGGAGGGAGAGGGGGGGGGTTTTACCATTTAAAATGTGTGCTTCATCTATTTTCTCTCAAGCGTCCACAGGGCGTTCCTGTATGGAGAAATTTACATGTTCTTCGTTCTTCTTTGTCCCCACTCCGAAAGTTGACGATCCATGCTATGGTACTGGGGTCGGCATTTAAAATGGGCAAAAAAACTCTTGGCAAGGACTATTCTGGTGAGAATGGCAATAATTGACGAATGTACATAGTAGGCCAGGGCCTACAAAAGTAAGTGACTAAAAAGAGGGTATTAGCGGGCTAGAGGGGGTGGGTTCGTGTCAAAGACGACAGCATTAGGACCGGCAGCGTAGCCGCTCCACAGCTTCCTTTGACTGGTCAGCTGATGTGAGTCGAAACAAAGCAGTTCTGTACGAAGGAGGACTAACCACAAGTCGAAGTAAGGTTAAATTTGCTAAATCTGGTCACAGGAAAATGCACATATCTACAGGAACACACGTGTGCGTGTGTGTAGATTCAGAAGTCAGCGTCATTAACTGCTCGTCATAGCTTCGATCTCAGAGAGGTCGGGTGAGGAGATTTTGTGTGTGTAGGACCAAGAAGTTGGAGCACTGTTGACGTTCTTTGGGGCGTCTTCTCGTTCTTCCCCCTCCTCCGCTCCTCGCATGTAGAGGAAGTAGTCGCAGGTGCACTCGTCAGGAGAGTAGGATTCCTGGGCTTGATGTCCCATTGACGGGGTGTGAGCCCGACTACCGGTGCCGCTCCGTTGCGACGCAGTCGATCTCTCATCGCCCTTCCTGGTTGCAGGTCCTGGAGTCTGTGGTTGTCTACTGCGGGCTCTCTTGGGGAAGAACTCTTGGGGGCCGTAGGAACAAGTGGCCTGCGCGAGAGCTGGGTGTTGGTGATGACGATGACGATGATGGGAAATGCCCTTTGGCGGTCGGTTTGGGTAATCAGGTAGGCCAGTATACTCAAAAGGTGAGGCTGACAGGACGTGCTTATCAGGTATTCGCCCAGCGTCCTCCAGACGAACCGGTGGTGGTGGTGGAGTATTGTGGTTGGGACAGATATAATATTGCCCGTGATTGGAGTACTCGCTGGGGAAGTCGTAGGTTCCATCCTCAGAGGCAGCTGAAGAAGGGGATGAGGAGGGTGACTCGTTGGCGATAATGGCGTCTGATGGTTTCAGTTTGCCCACACAGGACAAGTTCGGATACCAGACTGGGATGTAGCTAGGCTGTGCCTCTCCGGTACTGGGGTTAGGAATGTAGGCTGGCTGCAACGGCACCATCTTCACCTGATCAGTTCCCTGGGATGCTGACTTAAACAGTCTGGCTTGTTGAGCGGAGAGGGAGGCGGATGATGCCTCCCTTCTCATTCGTTTCCGTCCAGATTTCTTGTGTCTTCTAGCACTGTGACTGTGACGACAGTTACCAGCGGAACGCAAATCGATGGTAGATCGACTAAAACCAAGAATCGGCTTTCCGCTGGGGTCCAACCACACAGGAACCGCCTGGCCGGATAGGGTTCGAGAGGGCTGTTTCAGGTTGCCCTTCCGACTACCACTTCCAGAGCCTTTCTTGGTGCTGTCAAAGGAGGCGGTGTTTATCAGACGACAGTTTGCAGACGGTGGAAAGAAGTGGGGCAGTTGATAGAAGCTGGCGTTGTCGTATTTAGGCCTGGGACCGACTGGAGTCTTCATAGCAACAGCAACGGTAGATGAGTCCGCGGTCTCATCGGCTTCCGGTTGAGGAGTCAAATGTGTGTGGATGGGAGTCCTCAGTGAGGTCTTTCTATCCACCTCCGCCTGCGGTTTCAGCGTCTCCGGTTTAAAGTCACGTCGCCAGATAAACTCCATCTCCTCTGTCCCACTGCCGAAGGAGAAGTCACTGATTGTGCGGTCGGCGGTGCAGGGGGCAGACACGGCGTTCAGTCGGGCCCGCGGTCGAATATTCGCTGCCGTGGAGGCAGTCGTACAGTGCTGCACAAAGACGGGTACGTCAAAGACGTTCTTCTGGGGCGGGCTTTGCCCGCCATACTGCCTTGGCAGCGGTTGCTGACCGGTAGATCCAGTAATATGGGCGTAAGGGTACACCACAGTCATCTCGGGGAGTTGGGAGGAGGTCTCCAACTGGCTGGAGGTGTTTCCACCTGGGCATCTGGTCTCGCCATGACGACTAAGCCTACCGCTGCCGTTTGCGCCGGAGCTAAGCAGGTTGGTGGCCTCCAGCTGGCGAAGGTAGAGAACGAGGGTGCGGAAGAGTTGCCAATCTCCGAAGTTCATTTGCATCTCCGTTCGCAGCTTCTCAAGGTCACAGACCGATAATACGAGACCGGTGATATTCTGTTGTCGAAGTCGCGATTGATACATGGCGCAGTTAGAAACGGGAAGATCAGAGATGGCCGACAGTAATTCGCAGACATCAGCCACATTCATCTTACTCAGCAGTGTTGGTGGGAGGGTCTTCTACAAAGTAAAGCGAAGAACGGTGTTAAGAAATTGAAGGAGTCAGTGTGAGTTTCCCAAAGGCTTTAGACCCTCTTAGCCCTCCGTTACCAGTGGAATTGTGAGACCCGTCTTTCTGCCAGAACTACTTAAAGGATTTCAACTCCAGCTAATATAATAAAACCCAAATATTGTTAAAAAGCTTCCAAGTCCCTGAATGGCGCTAAGAATATAAATTATCTTTCAACTGACTCGGAATGGCATACTTGCAGTCTTGGGCGAACGACAAAGCAATTGTCTACAAAGATAAGAAAACGGTACCACATGTGGTCCAGTGAAGGCGATTCCACTTTCAGGCCCCGACGTTGTCTTCACTCATTCTACCGCCCAAGCTGAGTCGGCAATGTTTTTAAATTATGTAGTAGGTGCCGACAAAAGATCTTAGCCCCTACGCGAAAAGTTCCTGTTATGAGGTCCGGAGACCCAAATATATGCGCCAGAAAGCCCTACTCCAGCCCTACAGCTATAAAGGCAGAATCAGGTCACCGGTTGGCATCGCATTAATCGATTACGCCTCCGCGAGCACTGACCTCCTCCTCCTCCTCCT